ACAGCAGCAGCCATCGCCTACACATCATCCAACACGAGTATATACAGCAGCAGCCATCGCCTACACATCATCCAACACGAGTATAAACAGCAGCAACCATCACATACAGATCATCCAGCGCGAGCATATACATCAGCAACCATCGCCTACACATCATCCAACACGGGTGTATAAAAAAGTAATTGGGAAACACGAGAGAACCTTGACTTTGAAACAGTAGTTGTAATATTGGAAGAAAATGCTTGTGCAAACTAGAGAAAAACATAAATATGAGATGAGCTAATAAGCTATTATATGGAATACTAGAGCTTATATTTAAAATAAGGAATGATCGTGCTGATTCGTAGTAACAGAAGTACTCCCAAGCAGAATAATTGCGCAAATCAAGAAGCCAGAGATCTCTCATACGTCTATAACAGCAGCAACCATTGCCTACACATCATCCAACACGGGTATATACAGCAGCAACCATTGCCTACACATCATCCAACACGGGTATATACAGCAGCAGCCATCGCATACACATTATCCAACACGAGTGTATAAAAAAAGTAATTGGGAAACACGAGAGAACCTTGACTTTGAATCAGTAGTTGTAATATCATTGGAAGAAAATGCTGATTCGTAGTAACAAAAGTACTCCCAAGCGGAATAATTGCGCAAATCAAGAAGCCAGAGATCTCTCATACGTCTATGCAACTTGAATAAATTCACCACATTATAATTATTTTTATTTTAATTACCATACTATAATGACAAGGATGATGGACGCAGCTCACATGTCGACTTTAGGGGTGTTGATGAGGTCGGGGTCTAGAGTGGCCATGGCAAAGGACTCCTCAGGCAGGTCGTCGTTCTCAGTGGGCGAGTCGACGAGTTCGGTGAGATCCACCGAAGTGTTGGGGTTGTACACAGACAGCTGCTGTCCGTTACTCGCATCATTTCCACCTGGTAATTATTGAGACACACTTGAAGAATTCTTACTTCCACCTAATACTTAACCCTCTCTATCACTCTCAAGGGAAATAACTTTCAACTTAAATTATACGTAAACTATTGAGTGTAGCAACCTGAGGACGTTTGTACGCAACAGATAGCATTTTAAAATTTTCGTACGTGGCAGCAACCATCAGTGCAAGTCATTTTGCGCTCACTAGAACATATCCTTTTTGAGAAATAGGCTTGTGACAATATTGCTCCGGTTACTCATGTCAGGCGGTATAGTGTTAATATGCCAGTGAGGACTTCATAGTCATCAACTTGATGATAAAAAGAATGATATACTAGTAATTGGCTACCTGATAACAAAAATGTGAGACGAGTAAGCGACAACACCACAAACCTGACATCTCGTACATCGACGATAGTAGGTCGATGTCGGTCATGAAGTCCAAATCCGAAAATGGTAAGTCGGGGTTGAAAATCTGAAAAAAACGTATACAAGCGTGAATGTATAATGATGAGTTGGCACAGCAAAGTGAATCAGTCTCAAGAGTAAAGTATACATCGTCATAGCACGAGCAGATTAGAGAGACGTTAAATGAGTCGGCGATAAATACATGCATTCACAGTCTTACAAAAGAGATGAAAATACGTTAAATTCAGCGAGTTTTTGTTAACAAATTTCTAAATTCTGATTCGATAATTGCAGATGACTAGCAAATGAATGAGTTCAAGTTATCCCAGGTAAAATAAGTTAAGGCATCAAGCGATACGCCGCAAAGCAATATGGACGACGGCGTGCGAGCGCATTGGGTGCATACCCTGTTGAAGAGCTGCGGCTCGCAGGGGATGTTACCCTGCTTGAAGTATTCCTGCAGATTGTCGACCGTCACCTGCATTTCGTCCAGATCCTTCATCACCTGGTCTCTGGGTCTGAAATTGTAAAGGAATCCGTTGGTGCGAGGTTTAAAAGATCACTGATAGAGATGGAAGAAGACACAAGTCTGTCAAGTAAAAATTGATAGTGAAGTCGGGAAGAAGTTGAAAGGAGGACAGCAAAAGTACATTGAAGGAATCTAACGAGAATACTTCCAATCTGAATCATATCACATCAGAAGAACAATTCATAAACAAGGGCACGTGAAATAAACACATTCAGCTTGAGCAGGTTTAGATGCTCTTAATGCCCATAGAATCAATTGTGGTACATACGACCAAGTTACACGCACGACGTCCAGCAGACGTCCATCCAATAGCTAAACCAACGTCCAGTTATTATCCGATGAACCAGAGTGTATTCTAATATAAGGATGCATTAGATATCGGCACCGAATGATCACGATGCGCTGTAGAGGTGGGAACATTAAATTTTGGAATAGAATACAGAGTAACGTGACGAATCATGGGTTTGAGGAGCACCATTATGAAGTTTTGAAGCATCCATAGATCGCCCGAAAGTCGAATTAGTTTTACTGATGCCTGGAATGAAGTGAAGTGCGCACTTACGACAAACACGACGAGCCGGCGGCCGCCTCAGACGGTATGGCGATGGAGGTCTCGTCATTGGCTAGAATCAAGTCAAGGGAGTCAGAAGGAGCGAGTTGGCTCATCGTCTCCAACCCACTTGTGTCTCTACACACGCTGCAGGAGAACGCACCAGCACAGGTTAAATCCCACTGAGTCTCACCTTCCCGCACCACCGACTTCAAACTTTTTCCAATCACGCAAGATATCGTCACGACTTTTCCCGATTGAGTCGCATGGAAAAGTAAAAAATTCGGAGAATTCATCAGCAACCAATGAGGCTTTTTATCAGTTTTCGGTGAATTATGCAAAAATTAATAATCTTTTGCTTTCAGTTACTAAGGGGATGCCAGAACGAACATTTTCCCGCCAAATGCCCACAATCTGAGAAGCCCACGTTAGCCATTCGCGGCGCATTATTGCTAAATTCGGACACTATGGAAAAAATATATTCTGCAAGATTCCTCTGAAGGTCACAATCTTACAAATTCTATGATATTTCGATAAGATTCAGGCACTTACAGTTTATGAGACAAGTTTTCAGTCATCACTGTAACACAGAATATAATAATAATAATCGTCAGAGGGCAACAAGTTTCCGCAAGTAGTGGGCAGTTAACGGGAGTGACCATGAAAAGAGCTAAATAAATCTTCTGAATTGGTAAAATTCATGCAAATGTGATTAGCTGTCACACGGGGGTATGCCAATAAATTTAAAATTAACCTGAACTCAAAACGTTACTGTAAATTTAAACAATTAAATTTAAATGTATCGAAGATGCATTTTTAATTTCAATCTAAAATTGTTAAAATACGTTGGATCTGAGGGAGCTGTTGATGAGAAATTATTTGTAAAGCTCTTCGGAAAACTCACGTTTATTCTAGTTAAAAAAACTTGTAATTACCCGGTCTTGTCTTGTAAAAAACTTGTAATTAATGTTCGTTTGCAAAATTAAAAGCTATATCGAGATGCAATGGGAATCTCTCAAACGACTGGTAGTTTTATGCATTTTCCGACATTTTAAGAATAAATCAAGCCTTGAAAATAACATAATACGAAGATATTTGGAATTATTATTAACAATTGAAGCAGAGATAACAAAAATATGAATATTACTTGTTATGAGCGGGAACTACATCAGTGACTTCGTTGGTATGAGTGGGAGTGGAGACAGCAGCATTGAGTGCCGTAGCCAGGGTATTCTCAACTTCGGTATCTTTCTGCTGCTGCTGCTGTTGCGGTACAGGGTTCTTGCGCACCACTTTAAACAAAGGCACATCTTCCGTCCGATTGCTCTCTTCACCTAAATCCTTTACAGTAGAGCGACGCCCAGCCATCGACACACTAGCGCCTCCAACACTTCTCTTCACGGCGCTGTTTGTCGGGATGGTCTGACCGACCACACCACCAGCGCTGTTACTGCTGTTGCTGGGAGTGTTTTTATTGCCGATGGTACGAGTTAAAATGTACGGTCCAGGTAAGGTTTGCATGCTGCTTTCCTTGCCTTTAAATTTTTTCGACATTCCTGCTGCGTTGTTATTAGTTGTGAGAACTTTATCAGGAACTTTAATAGGGTTACTGATGCGAGGTGCGGAGTCGGCAGGAATCACGGTGACATTTGTGATGACGTTCTGTGTTCTGTCAGAGCGCGCGTTTGGCATGTCTTGCTTGAGGCCAACGCCGCCGCTTACCACAACCGGCGTATTGAAGGTGTTGAGACCTGAAGAGTCTGGCACTGTCGCAGGGGCTAAATTTGATACAGGTGTGTTCCTGATGAGAGTGCTGTTGGGGCGTAGAGTGTAGGTGACCGTGCCTCTTCCAACACCAGTCCCGTCTTTAGTCGATCTTACAACACTTATAATCTTAGGCTTCACCTCTAAGTTCGTGGAAGTTATATTAGATCCATTTCCTATGACCACTTGAGGAGAGCTCGATGTCACGAGACGATTGTTTTGAGGTATGGCAACGCCAATTTCAGCAACATCTTGTAAACGCTCGGTTTTAATGTTTGCTGACTGGCCATTCACTGACGACAGAATGGTTCCCTTAGGGCTCTCAACAATCGGTTGGGGTGACGTATCTGATAAAATACATTTGAAAAGAATTAAATCAACAATATACAATCTTTCGTATTTCAGGTCTGACTAGAATATCTAAATATTTGAAGGTCATAACATCTAATTTAAATGCTTGGCGGAAATAGGAGGATTTATTCAGTATTTTATACATATAAGAGCGCCATCTTAATGCTGGGAATATAATGAAAACGAAATTATTTGAAAAACCAACAAATGAATTGTGAAGCAGAGTAGCAACTTGTGTACTTACAGGGTTCATAAGAAGGCTCATTGAGCAAGAGGTCAGTATCCACCGGACTGTGGGAAAATAAATGATTACTAATCAAAAAACTCAACATTATTTTCAGGGTTCGTACAGGTATATATAAAAAAAATTCCACGACTTTTCCATGACTCACCACGACGACCAATATAGTTTTCCAAGACACGTATACAACAGGCTTAGCATGACTGAAAGACAAACCATGCATTTTCTATCATTTCCTACAGTTGATAAATAGCAAACGTGTAAATGCATAGCTCGTCAACGCTGCTTCCTCCATATTTGACACATCGAAGTCTTTCAAGCACAATGTACATATCGCCATACCTTCATGCTTTGAATGGCGAGCAAGCCAGTCACGATAAGCTTCTATTCTTAACCACAAGTCATGAAATTCACACTTTCCAGGCATGGTGATGTAGAAATTGCCCGCTGAAGATGGAACGCTTCTACTGCAGATCAAAAAGTTGTCGAATGCAACTGAGCTCGGTGACCGAGATTGCATGATTGGTTCTCCAATCAGAACGCATGAAACAAGAGACTGAGGCACAGTCTCTTGTTTCGTGCGTGCCAATCAAAATGCAGGAAACAAGAGACTGCACAAACAGTAAACACGCGCAGCATAGAAAAACATTTCATTTATTTCTTTTTTTATTTGCAAATACCATGACAATCCATAACCTGAAATAAAATCCAATGACTTTCCAGGCCTGGAAAATAAAACTCCAAATTCCATGACTATCCAGGTTTTCCATGACCTGTACGAACCCTGTATTTTGCAACAGAAGAGATCACAATAACACGAAGCTTGTGACTCTGAGTATAATGCAAAATTCAGCTCCATATAGTTTGTGAGCGCTATTATAATCCACAATAAGAACTAGCTTAGGTGCAGTGACCAATAGTGAGTCCAAAGTATGCAGTACTATCAAATTCAGTGTTGAGTCACATTGTAAATAGACTGACGTAACACGACCACAGGAGTGCAATAGTGGGTACTTGAATTTTGAAAACTGAAACTGCTCACGTTCCATCCGTGTTAAGGATGACGCCACGAGGTGACAGCATGAAACGTTGATTCGCGGAGCCTGCAGACAAAACCTGGTCGTTCGGTATTGTAATCCCCGTTGCCGTTGAATCGAGCAGGCTAGCATCGGGCACCGTTTGGGGCATCATGCGGATGACTTGTGTAGTGGCAGGTGCTGCGTGAAGCACCACGTTGTTGGAGGAGGTGGAGGAAGAAGATATCCTAGAGTTCCCTGATGTGGTTTTTAAGACTTGGTTGGGCACAACACCAATGTCAGGTAATTCATCCACCACCTCGTGAATTACGGGGCCATCTGACAGAGGACTTGTGCCATGCGTGAGTGCCTGTGTTAAAAATTAAAGTTAGATGCGGTTTATACGGTCAGTAAAAATATTTGGCCAGCTTCATCAGTATCTAACACGGAACTAAAAGAAAAACTTGCATCGCCGACAAAGCTCATAGTTCCTCCCTGCTAAGCTGATAGTTACCGGTACTCAGTTTTTTAATAAAGCAACAAGGAAATAGAGAGTGAGAAATAGTAGTAGAAAAGAGGGTACAGTAGTAGGGTAGTAGTAGTACTACAGTATATGTGTCAATGCAGGGACAACTAGTTGATGAAAATCGTAAGAATGAGCAGTGGTTTGGTGAGAAACACATCCCGCCGACGCTCAAGATATAGCAAGTAAGCTGGTACATCAAGGTTCCATGAGAAGCAAGTTCACAGCTAGGATATCAATTGCTCACGGTTCAGTTGTCAAATATATTGGTCGAAGCCTAATGGCTGTTGGAAGCTAACATTCAAGAGCCATTAAAATTATATTAAAAGAATTCTACTTAGTATTATTACATTTTATTATTATTATTCATAACTTTTGCAGTCACAAAAGTTACAAAAACCATCCTCGTGTGATACACAATATCCATTTTTTAAAATTCTAATAACTGAAAAAGATTGTCAGTAAACACATTTAGTTCAATCAATATCTCTGGCCCAGTAATAATATAAATGGGCAGGGGTCTCACGGGCATGATGTTGTGTGCGGTGGTGTACAGGGCAGGGTTGGCAAGGTGGGGCAGCTTGCGTGCTGTGCGGCTCAGCTGTGTGGTCTTCATCATACTCATAAGGAAGCGCATCAACTGAAACATCACAAACAGATCAATAACCAAGTTAAAACCATATTTAATCAATTGCAGATGATCTAAGGTGAAAACCAAAGCTTTTTACAAAACAATCTATTGACTAAAAATTTCAGCACTACTCAGCAGCTAACTTTTCGAGTGAGAACATTAAGCCCCATGAGCTACAACATTTTTGAAGAGCATCATAAATGAACACAAAATCTTCAGTCAAAAGTAGCTACCATACCTTGTTCAAAAGCAGCTAACATACCTTGTTAAAAAAGCAACTACCATACCTTATTGATGATGTTCTGTTGCTTATTGAATTTATCATGAAGTTGTGAATACTTGGCCCAGACTATTTGGTTCTCCTGCTTGAGAGTGTTGATCTGAGTCATAACTGACTCTTGCTTCTGTCTGAGCGCTACCACTTCTGTCATGACGTCAGTCAGGCGGGGGTCTTCCATAGCCATAGCACCTCCACCAGGCATTCGTGTTGACATCTGCTGAGAAACGATCACCATTCCACTTGTCATCAAAAATCCTACCTCTTCAATATCGCGCAATCAATGCGAAATAAAAAGAGTAATCATTGAACATGTGGGAATAAACTTCAGTTTTTAACTAATAGCACCATGCAACTGAATAGCTATGTACAATTTAATTTGGGCTTCACAAATGCTTCAAGCTAGAATGCTTCTCTTGGAATTTTATACTTTGCAAAGTGCAGAATAGTACTTAATTAAAATTCCATTCACATATAAAGTAGTTACAGAGCTTGAACTAAAATTACGATATTGCAATTTTACACTGTAATATTTAGTTGTGAAGACAATCAGGCTTCCCTACTCATTTTTCATGGCCCTTACTGGGTTAAGAATAGCTTACTAACTTTTCTTTTTATGAGCTCCAAGTTGTGCTCTTCGCCCCGTACAAAATAAGGATGTGCAAATTCCATCTCATCCCTGTCAAGCCGCAGTCCCCCTCCTTCCATGCTGGGCACCTTCCTGAAGCCATCTGTAACACAAACCAATAGGGTCATTACTCACCCAAAGCATCAAACATTTTACAAAATTATCTGGTTAAAAAATTCACTTAGGAACTTGTAGACTTGTAGGCATTGAAGTTAAGAAATACTTGAATAGGAGATGAAAACGCCTGCTATTCAAATATAATGGATAGTCACTATGAAGAACTTTTCTAAACTAAGGGATGGTAAGCCTCAATGCACAAAGATTCTACAATGTTGGAAGTTGTCATACATGTTATTGTGGAGCAATGCATGCTCCTACTGGATATTGTTTGAAAACAATTAATGAACATTTGATTGTTTGGAACTTTCCACACAACTCAATATAAATAACATAAATAAATAGGTATTTAAATGGAGAACTTCCTAAATAACTAAAGGAAACATGAATAAAAAATTAAAGGAGTAATATAAATGGGTATAATACATATCATTGAATTCAACTTGGACCATAAAAGAGTGTTTCCTTTCTTTGCCTGAAACACATGGCACAGCATGCTTAATATCAAATGAATATGATCACTCACACATGTTGAGTTGCCTCACAAAGCTGGCCATGTTGTTGTGTTTGTAGTACAGCGGCAGCAGCTCCCGGCTGAACTGCCCCTGACTGCATAACAGGAAGCTCTTCCCATCCTGTTCAAAATACATCAACATTACAACATGCTTACAACAATAATGTAATTTGATTTATTAACATATGATTAACTCACAATAAAGAGCATGCTATTTGTTTCTTTTTATGCTCAGTCCAGATTATGTCCTGCAGTATTAGACAGGATCACAAACTAAATGTAGTCACTTGTTTGCATTGTTGCAAGCACAGCAACACCACCAGTCTGCATACTTATAAGCTCATTTTCTTTAAAATTTAAATAATTATTTGATTTCAACTGGTCATTATGTTGCCAATTGATGAAACCATGATTACTATGTTGTATTGCATATTGTCTTTTTTGAGCATAAATGAGGTATTGTTGTGAGGTTATTTTAGTTGAGTTGTCCATTGAAATTAAATTTTGTTCGCAAGAGATCAGTGATACTGGGTTAGGGTGAAAAAGTTTTGACTCAAATTTAAGAGATTGACTCAGGCTACTTATACACTGCTGTAGTTATGGACACCTCTCACAAGCTTAACCAACTCAGAGGGCACTTGCTTGAAACAGGTGTAAGCACAAGAACCACTAACAAACTAAATATGGCGCAGGTAGTGTTCCTAATTAATCCCAGATGCTGGCAGCATTTTGGTGCAGCTAGTACCTGTACCATGCATACCGGTATCTCTAGTGTTTTGAAGGCTAACAACTGCATTATTCATGCCTCTCATGTTGTGGAGGTTTGACTCTTTGGAGGTTTTGACCTTTGACTCTCAGGAGTAATCAGGCATAATGGTGTGGCTAGATCACACAAACTTTGCTTTTCTCAGCAGCATATTGGGGCTAGTACCCTCAATAGCTGTGACTGGCTTTGGGGATTTGAGCGTGGCTAAATCCCATGTCACTTGTTTTTCCTAGCAGTGGATTATGGCTATTACCCTTGGTAGCTGTGACTGGCTTTGGGCATTTCAGCATGGCTTTAACACACTTCATTTGCTATCTAACTTTTCCTTGTCACTGCCTATTTTTATTGAGGCCTGTGTTTCCCACTTCTCAGGGTTAAAATTCAGTTATAAATAATTATGAGTATCTATCTTGATAGAAGAATTAGTGCACTTCTGCAAGATGACTCCTGTACACCAATGAAAAACATCAGTATTCTACAAAAATCTACTTTGTTTTCATTTTATCCTCCTCCAGCTCGCTGATTTTGTTCCAGCTCTAAATTCCCTTTAGAGCTGGACCAAAGTCAGCATGCTACCCAGATCTATATCAAATTTGGGAGGTTGTTTCTGGCCCCAAATATATATAATGACATATATATATAATATATGCATATATGTCATTGAATGTAAAATTTGAAATGAAATATCATTTATTATAAGCTTTGGCTAATTATTATTTTGATAACAAATCATGGCTTTCATCCTAGGCAGCAAAGAAACAACAATGTGTGTTCAACATAAATGATACAAATGTGCTACCTATCACACATTATATTACTTCTTGAGTGAAAAAAGGGCTTAGTTATTTTTAGCACATTTTCTCACATATGGAAAAAAAGGCGCTATTGTGCTTTCCATGTCCATCTGTCTGTCTGTGACTTCACGTTTTCATCGATGAGAAAATGTGCTCTCTGTCACTCACTGCAGCGAGTACTGAGTTATATTTTTTTTAGAGTAAAATCTGAGATCTAGATCTTTTTGCATTTACTGCAAAACTCCTGCGATTGCTGAATTTTTTCATTGGACAGAGTTTGTCTCAGTAATAAAAACTGGGACATTTTCAGCACTCCATGGGAATTCTGGGACAAAACCAAGACAAAAAAGGAGGCCTTCTGCTTATTATAAGTTTTAAAATTTCCCAGAATTTTTATCTTTCATAAGGAAACTTAACCAGATATAATTACACAGCTAGTTAATCCTTATTATGAAATTAGAATATAAATTTTTTCAGACATTATCTGATTGAAATTTTGTCTGTTAACAACTTTAAATGATGCCATTTTACTATGCAAAATGACATTGCTATTGCCCATCAAAAATTTGAAGGGTCAGGGTGAAATGGGAAACATAAGCAATTGTTAAGAAAAAATTATTTATATATATATACTACAGATTTCTTCAGCATTTTGTTTCCCATTAGAACAAAAAAATTTTAAGCCACTGAAAAGCTCAAGAGTCTTGCAGTTGTGAACAGATCTGTATAAAATTTAAAATATATCTAATTAATAGCAAGACTGTGGCAGGAATTGACGCAATTTTTTACAAATTGCAAGCATGGATGGCTGTTTGTGTCTCACTCACAAGTGGCTTCTGCTGATTTTCCAGAATGTACTAGTTAGATATGCACTAAAACAGCATACAAAGCAATACAAAATGTCAAAATGAAAGCATTGCATAGAAAGAAATTTCTGTTGCCCTCCTTACATAATCAACTTATTTTTTCCAAGTAGGCAAAAAAAACTGGAAAGGATTGGAATTTTACTATTTACTACAGACATCTTGCATCTCAAGAGTAACAAATTTTCAATACAATTAAAATCTTCTAGCCAAAGTGAATGCTTTTATTAAAAATTAGAGGGTAGGTAATTCACTTAGCTCTGGTTTGAAATGGCAGGAAAGCTCCATTTGCACCTCACAGGATAGATATATTTCATGCCTGCAACTAGGCTGGCCTTATCTTAGCCAATTTCTGAGCAACTTTGATGGAGATAAAAAATATCTCATTTGCCAGATTGCCACTATGACCATCAAGAAACACGGTTTACCAACTTGCCATTTAGCTGTTACTGCACTTGCAGTAAAGTCTAGTTTGGTGGTTCCCAAGTTGGCAATATCGCCCCCTTGGGGGCGGTGGAAAGATTTGGGGGGGCAGTGAGGAAGAAAGGAGCAGTAAGGGGGCAGCAGTCCACGAAGTCAAAGTCACAAGTTTGTACGTTTGTTTGACAATTTGTACACAACACGTGCAGAACATGACTCCAACTCGAATAAATTTTCATGAGCTAAAAATCACCATTTTGGTAGTTAGGACTTTTTATTCAAATTTTTGTTCAAATCTATTCAGTAGTTTGGAAGAAATTCTTTGATTACTGTGAATTTAGGCCCGTTTTGCCATATAACTCCCAAATGAAGGTGAAATTTGAACATTTTTAACAAGGTAAACATCACCATTAGGTCCTAATGATTACGTGTTCCAAGTTTTATGAAGTTGCATTCATTATTTTTGGAGATATTCCTTGGTCGCTGAATTTGGAGATTGGCCGTGAGAGTGGAAAACAACGTTTACTAGGAAATAATTACTACATTTTGTTAGCAAATTCAATGATTTGTGAATATTACATTTGATTCAAGCGGTAGCGGCAAAACCTAGTATGATGGTATCGCTACTTAAATATGTAGTGCCAGTAGCGGGCTCTACCGGGGGCCATGAGACTGGCCATGAGTCCAGCCTTAAATTTGTCTGAGCCGTCTTGAATTTCTAGTGCTGAAACAGTTAAAACTGAAAAAAATATATTGGTTTCCTAAATGGGGTTCTATTTGTGAAATACACAGTTGCGTTTAACAATTCTCTTTTAAAATTGATGCATACCAAGAAAGAAGCATTTGTTTTTAATTGCGTCTGTTGCTGTCAGGGGGGAAGGGGGGTGGCGCTAGAGATTCAATGGACTGAATGGAGAGCCAAAGAGGGCGCCAGCCTGAAAAAGTTTGGGAACCACTGGTCTCATTTACGGTTTATAACAGTCAAAAAATACTGGTTAGGGTAAACGCGGTATATTCCGACATCGTGGGTAATTCCGACACCTCTCTAGTTTTTCCTTTATATTAAGCTTTTTATTAGTTCCATGCATTTGTTGATAGTTGAAATAGTGACGTCATACATTTGCGCATCAAACTACTGCCAAAACACTAGGTCTGGGCCATCTAGCGGGAAAATGTTGAGATCCAAAGAGAGACGGTGCATGCCACCCAATGAGATCATCGAAAAATGTGTCAAAGTTGACAGTTGACCTTGCTCTACCAAATAGATATAAACTGTTTGTGTAGAAAGAATATTATGGTTTGAGACTTTTAAATACGTCTGTGAATATATTAGGAATCCTTTAAGTATACTTGTATTTGCTGATTTCAAGTGGTAAATAAATTAATAGATGATTAAGTTGAGAAATGGATTTAGACACATAAAAACTAATTCCGACACAACTTGAATTGGACACACACAGCTTGTTCCAAGCTATGTGCAAAAATGAAAATTTTCTTAATTAAAAGCTTAATAACTGTTAATTAAAAGCCTAATTAAGTAGTGCTCAATATTTAATAGTGTTCTAATTCAAAGCCGTGTTGTATTTCAATACAGCTCACACAGGGATCAATTCGAACACGTGGATGTCGGAATTACGTATTAGTACAATTTGAAGCGCGGTCGGAATACGTCTCACCACGTGCTGAATATAGTCACACACTGAGTCGGAATATAGGGATTTTGTAGGTTTGCATTCTAAAGGCTTTTAAATAAATATGGCAACATTTTGTGACATTTCATTGTTGCTGGTGCATTGTGCAGTGTTTTGAGAGTCACATAAAGCAAACAGAACTCGAGTAACGCATACGTTTTTTTTATAGTTTTTCATTTCTCGATGCGTCCTTAATGTGTTGGGATATACTGCGTTTACCCTACTGAGTGGTTAGAATTACCATTTGTTGGCATAGGGTTTGATTACCAGTATCACATAATAGCACATATTACCTTGAATCTTGAAAGCCTTAAGCTTTTTCAATTGTAGTAAAAAGTTGTGGGTCTGCTTTGATAACAAAATATATTAGGGTAAACGCGGTATATTCCGACATCGTGGGTAATTCCATCACCTCTCTAGTTTTTCCTTTATATTAAGCTTTGTTTTAGTTCCATGCATTCGTTGATGGTATCATGGTTGAAATGGTGACGTCATACATTTGCGCATCAAACTACTGCCAAAACACTAGGTCTTGGCCATCTAGCGGGAAAATATTGAGATCCAAAGTGAGACAATGCACGCTACCCAGTGAGATCGTCGAAAAATATCTCAAATTTGACAGTTGACCTTGCTCTACCAAATAGTGAATAACTGTTTGTATGGGAAGAATATTATGGTTTGAGCCTTTAAATACGTCTGTGAATATATTAGGAATCCTTTAAGTATACTTGTATTTGCTGATTTCAAGTGGTAAATAAATTAATAGATGATTAAGTTGAGAAATGGATTTAGACACATGAAAACAAATTCTGTCACAATTTGAATTGGACACACACAGATCGTTCCAAGCTGTGTACAAGAATTAAAATTTGCTTAATTAAAAGCTTAATAGTTGTTAATTAAAAGCGTAATTAAGTAGTGTTCAATATTCATTAGTGTTCTAATTCAAAGGCTTTACCGCGTTTACCCTATTTCAATTGAAGGCAAGCAAAATAGGCTAAGTGATAGGCCTATGTCAAATCTCAATGTTAGGTAAACATGCATTTATGGCAGATGGCAGTGCATACTGCTCAATGAAGAAATTAAGAAAGCTTCTCATTTGGGTTGATAGGAAATTTTATCAGAAGCAACAATTTGCACTCACTTCTCCCCAGCGAATGAGATGATCTGTATTTTCGTCTTCCACCAGTTTCCATAGTTTGTAGAGGAAAGCAGGAATTTTTTCTGCAGATTCCACTGATGAATGCATTTCTTGAAATCTGGTGACTGGCAGTAGGTAGATAGTTCTGATATCTATTATTTAAAACAAGTTGCTCAAGTCTGAGATGCTTTGAGAATTGGGGTCATAAATCCCAACTCTGTTTCATCAGACATCTGGCGATCTGGGTATAATTAGCACTAGAAAAAATATTAAAGATTAAAAGAAAATGTGGGAAATGAATGAAAAGTCACCTTAGTTACCTACATTAAGTTAGGCATAAAACCAAATTATCTTGTTAATGCTTAATGGCTAATCATATTGTCATTTGTCAAAGTAAAGAAGATTGAACGAAAAAATAATAATTTTACAAATGAATTTGCGTGATACCATCATTAAAGTTTCACAATTTAGGTACTTTATTTTCTACTGCGAATAGGAGACTTGAAGCAATTGGATATTAACCACGATATGCAACCATGGCGAAATGTTTTTAGTGCGACGGCAATTGCAACAGCGCAACCGAACAGCACGATGTAAACTGCAGCAGCAAAAGCAGGCAAAGCACCGCAGGAGCAGAGATCGTTTGTATAAAACGTTTGGCAGGTAAACAAACCAAAGAATGACAGCAATACACGAACTATTTTTTGGTAAAATTATTTACTAATGATATGAACTTTATGTTATTGCGTAAATTGTATTTTTTGCTGAAGATGACGTAAGGGAGAGGGATATGGGAGAGATTCTAATGACCCTCAGTGACAAAGTATATCACATTTCATCATAACATGACTCAGTAAAAATTCAAATTCTTTCACATCATTGTACATGTTATCATAAAATTGTGTTATAACATATAAATGTAAAGATGAGATGATTTTATTTAAGTGTAAAGCTGAATTTTTCCTTTTGTTTGCAAGAAATTCCTAATTTGCTTTAAAAACAATCAGCAGTTAAACCACATTGAATGTTACAAAACATCGTCAATTTTTTAAGCCAAATTTTCATCCTGATCATAAAGAGCTCATTAATTGTTACCAAGACGTAGGAGAGCTTCATCCGATGATCGTTTCAAAATGCGGTTGTTACCAAAAGCCGATTGTTGATTTTGGTGTGAGGAGACTTTAGTTTGTTATCGTTAATATGTGTGCCGCATTAACAAATGCTACTGTTTTACGGGCTCTTAGCACAAAATTTAATACAGGTTTGAATTTGAGCTTCTTTAGATCCACATCTTTTTCTTCCAATAATGAAAACAGTACTTTTTATACATCACATGGAGTAAGAATGAGCACAAAATATCCGGTACGATGGAGTATATCGAATATATGGAGCAAGAATTACTGCCAAAGTTATGCAAAAAAATCTGAAGAAACTTCTTTGGCGCAAGATTTACTAACATCTAGAATGGACGAAGAAAAAAGGAGAAGTGGCTCATATTCCAAAGAAGAGGCTGAAGCTGACGAGAAACAGAGAAAAGAAGACCTGGAGCGAGCTAATCGTGCTCTGAAATTTTCATTTATTGCCTTTGGCGTTATGATGGCTGGAATTGGTGGTACTTTAATTTTACGGTGGGGTGAGTTCATGATATACAGTACTTGTTCTAATATAATTCAGATAATCCTATTAAACAAAGAAATAAAGAATTATATAGCTAGGCTAAAGCATGACTTTTTTATGTAGTTATTAATTTTTAATTTGACTTAAGTCTTAAGTTTAAAAAGTGGTTGAAAACTATTTTATTTGAACATATCATGGCTCTTTCTCAATTCTCAATATATACATGGATTTTTTATACATCTTAAAATAAAATATACTGTATCTTGAATCTTCAATAGGTAGGTACTCCAAAATTGAAAATGAAAAATTATGATGAAATTAGGTTAGTTCCCATTCTCATTAATAAAGAAATAAACATAGAGAGAAAAAATAAGTAAATAAATAAAAGAGAAAAAATATAACTCAGTAGACTTGCTGCAGATTGCAGTTAGTGTCTGAGGTGAGTGACAGAGTCACAGAGAGCGCATTTTCTTGTTGATGAAAACGTGAAGTCACTGACAGAATATGGTGATATCATATCATTGATGATATCAATAAAGGAAAAACAAGTAAACAACACTGAATATGTTGTTTATTCTACATCTACCTCATCTACTTGAACATGTTGTTTATTCTACATCTACCTCATCTACCAATGCTACAATGAAAGAGGAGAACATCAGAGTACTGTTAGTAATGGATTAATTATGAATATACTCTGCATGCTTCAAACATTTATAATTGAGTTTTATTTCAAGTGTTCCGCCAGTTCCAGATTACCCCATTCCCAGGGGTAATTCAGGACGGTTTTATTTTGCGTCTGGCACCTTATGAATAGCATATGGAATTTTTTTGAAACAACCATTTAATAGCCCTTGCAAAGAGCTATAAAATGAGCCTAAATTTGTTTATGAAACTTTTCATGGTAAGAAGTTATTAACAAAAAAATGTTCAAAACCATCCCTTATTACCCTGTTTGACAGTATCTAAAAACTGGACTTAACAAGAGACAGAATAAATAAGGAAAATGAGTAGGTAGTTTAGCTTAGCTGAGACCTGTTAATATCTTAGAGCAACCAAACAAAATCATTTAATTCTTGAGAGCAGTACATATCCATAACCACAGCCAATTGATGCAAACAGAAAATATTCTAATTCAAAAAGAATGTGCAATACAATGGACTTATGGCAAGATATATTATTCACTCAATTCACTTGAAGGTTGTTCTATTATGCAGGCAAATAATTGAAAGCATAGATGCTGGGCCAGATGGTGCAGAAAATTTAATTCATGCCATAAATCCTTACTTCAAATTTATATGTGGTCTCGGGTTAACATAGAGATCATGACTACCATCCTGTTGAATGTACTGATCATTATTATAATATCAATTTATTTCAGGTGCTCCTCCTGAGGATGATGATGGCAATTGGTTGGAAGATGACTTCAGTCACCTGCCCATTGTAGAGCAGTACTTCCGCCGCACATACCGAGAGTTGAGGAACATGAATACCATGATCCAGGTTGGTTTTATTGATTGAATTTAGTGAATCTGTAGCATACTTCTATTTTATTTGGTTAGGGAATTTTTTTATGTAACTACTGATGAACACTAAAGCATTCTTTTTCTTTATGTCATTTTCTTCTTTTCCATTAATACTTACCTGTAACTATACCTCCCACTATTAGTTATGAATTTTTTTAAGTATTCTAAATTTTCTGCTTTGCTATCTATGTTTAGTATTAACTGCATAATATAATTTCATTTGAAAGACTTCTCCACAGGATATCCATCCACAAACTGTCGCATACACTTGACAAATCTCTTGTTTAAAGTTATGAAGGGGAATAAAAAAGAAATTCAGACAAATTTTGATTTTTTTTTTACCACTTGTCTCACATTGACACATTGATGACCCTTAGAGCCAACATGGCAAAGTTTTCATCAGTTGACCATGATCTCTGGCACCTGGTCATCCTCTCATTTGTGGTGGTTCAAAGGTGCTTACTGGTCATGTTCTGGCCGGCCTAATAACGGCTCTGACCTGTGAGCTGTAAGCAGCTTCTGAGTTAAACCATAATGCTCCTCTTGGCTCGTGGCTCCGCTGCTTAACTTGCTTTGCTCACATTGTAACCACCATCATTAATGAAGAGGCAGCTCAAACTAGTAAACAATTAACTAGTGTTTCTTCCTATTATCCTCCTCACTAGGAAAAGAATTAAATAGATGGCCAACTGCCCAAATATCTGCCGATTGCTGATATTCTCTTACAACTGTTTTTTTTATTGCAACCATCTATTCTATGCAATGACAAATGGCGAGTAAAATTTCTATATATACAAAGCTACACGGAGTTTGGTCATGTTGTGACTGGTCTCCCTTGGAATATAACTTCTCAGGTTTAGGATGATTTTTTTTCTCCAATGCTGACCATTACAGGTTCATGTTCTAAATATTTTAGGTTGTATATATGCCCTGAGACTTGTATTGCTTGCAGATGCCTTCTCGAGAGAAGCTCCTCCCTGACACACTCTCAGGACAGTACGTGCAGCCGCCCTACACGCTTGTGCTCGAGATGAAGGATGTGCTTGTGCATCCAGAATGGACTGTAAGTCAAGCACTGCATGAACAGAAAATTGGTATTTCAGTTCGAAGTTTGTTGTTTAGAATCAGCTAATGTTGTTTAATTCAGAATAATTTCCATCAACCTCATAAAGAGAAGATACTCTTTAGAAAGGCTTTGAATTTTCAATTGATTGGTTCAAAATACTGTTTCTTGTTCACTTCCTGAGGTTTCTATTTTATTCTATTTTTGTTGTATGAATTGTTCCATGTGAATGGGTGATATGATGAATCACAGTCTATTTGAGAACAATATTTGACGTTTCTATACTTTATTGCAGTATGAAACTGGTTGGCGGTTTAAAAAGCGGCCAAGCCTCGATTTTTTGCTACAACATTGCGCTCCTCCATTGTTTGAAATAGTTATTTACACCAATGAACAGGGATTCGTAAGTATATCTTCTTAAGTGACCGCTTTGCATGAATCAGATTTGGTTTTTCAAAGAGTAATTTCAAGTGATGCTTCATTACATAAGTTAAAAATTTTCCGCAAATAAACATAACATGATAGAAACGAATCAATAATGCTGAGTTTATGAAAAATTTTGAGCTAACATCCGAAGTCAGTAATTCTCTGCACATGTTCTACCTATGACACAGAAAATCAGTTCAGGTATATATGAATTGTTAGGGAAGTAGTAAAATATTGCTCTGTTATCTTATTTTGGTGAATCACAAAATCTGTTTACTTTGTTGTTTCATAAATAATCATAATATTTAACATACGCCATGTTAATTGTTATATTCTTATTTGTTGCAGACAGCTTTCCCGGTAATAGACAAGCTCGACCCGAACGGTTTCATTTGGTACCGTCTATTCAAGGACTCCACTAGTTACGTGAATGGCAAGCATTTGAAGGAACTCAATTGTCTTAACAGAGACTTGAAAAGGGTAAGATTTTCTCAATGTTTTTATTTTGTTTTATTGGCCAGTCACATTTCGTACCTATCTATAGCTTTATTATGCCATGGCCATTTTCTTTTTTCAACATTTATTCAACAATTTTGCCCTCTTGTGGTCTTGCCTCTATCAGATCAACGTATTGGAAAAAAATAATTCATTGAGAAACGTTTTGATAATCCGGACTTATTAGTAATGCCAGCGCTTGGTCTTAGTTTTATGCATTCTTTATTGAGGAACGACGTCCTTTTGTCAAAGTGTTTATGACCAAATAGCGTTCCTTTAACCTCATGACTATGCCTCGTCACAAGGTAAATGTTATTTCTAGCGCCATAAGCCAGGTTGTTCAATATTATTTTGGGTTGGAGCAGGTCATCATGGTGGACTGGGATGCAGATGCGGTCTCTTGTCCTCGCAATCAACTAAAAGTCCCTCGGTGGAAAGGTAGCATGGATGATAACGGACTGGTGCAGCTTGCTATGTTGCTAAGGAGTGAGTCTCATCTTTGTTATTTGTTTTGGTAATATTACGTTGAACCCTCTTGTAAATTATTAAGAATAGAATATCAGGTGCACACACACCTAGTAATGTCGGTTGACTCTGGAGAGTGAGATACAGATTTATCAATAAAACTTTAGTTCTTAGTTTGAACTTGACTAAGCTATCTGTGAAGTAGATTCTTGCTATGGGCATTTTTCTTCCCGAGAAATGCTATACCGGTACCTGCCAGAGGCCAGGTATCTTGTATCCTGATTTCCGCAAATAGGATTTAACTTCCCCCAAAAGATAATGTTATATGAAAAGGATATGATAACGTAGTACACAAAACTTTTTTTCGCATTACTTTTATAGATATGATTTACATCTACAAGTAAATTTGTTAACCTCAAGTAGACAAGTTAATGTACTGTATAGTAGCTAATCATGCACAGATGAAGAATATTCAAGGTTTTACGGGGAAAGCTTATCAGCTCGCAGCAGTTACATACATAGCTATGAGTTAAACAAAAGCACGTCATTGGTAGTTACACCTATAACGACTGATTATAGTCTGAAAAATAGAAAACATTAATTCGTGGAAGAGATCGCGAAGAAAGAACGTTCATTTCTTGTCCTGTTCTGAAATCAACATATATAAAGCATAGAGGTTTCCTTAAATTAGTTTAATTCCACCCTGACGTGATGTTATTGCTCAGTTATTTGGATAATGAATGACTCTGACCTGTAATATACTCCTGACAAGATTAAATACACATGAGAATTAAGGACTACAACAATAGGATACTTTCTCAGTCAAATTCGGAATGTCCGGTTTGAGTGAGTTCTCGTCAATATGAGCAGGTACCCAAATCAGTAAGTTATCTTACTCTTCAGACACGAATAGATATTTGCTCATGAACAATTAATGACAAAAGCACGCGTTTTGAATGAGTATCGTAAGTCTGCTATCCGTTCCCTGTTACACATGATTGACAATGCTTCACGATTTATGATCGCACTGACATGCGCTACCTACACCGTTCAATGCAGATATAAAATGATTGGCTGTGATTTTCTAATTAATACCCGATAGATGCTTGGTATAATTTGTGTAACTTGAAGCCGTAAATGACAGCAATCGCGGAGAGTGAGGTGGACGACGTCCGGGACGTGCTTGACTACTACCGTCAGTTTTCTGATCCTCTTGCCGCCTTCGAGAAGTTCCATAAAGAAGCTCGGGAGCGCGAGATGCTCAGTGAACAGCAGCGCAAAGAACAGCTTAAATCCGGCAAGGTTGCTACCACATGGCAACCCAGCTTCCTCAAAAAATGGTAAGGTCTTCAGAGCTAAATTAGATTTTGCAGGCTATGATTATTACAGCTTGGCGTTTTAGTTTCGCCTGACATCATTTGACGAGAGACTGAAATTATGTCTTGGTATTTAGTACATAGTCATTAGTATGGTGGAAGCGCCTCGTGCTAGCCTTGGACATACTCAGATGCTCCCTGTCATCTTGTAGTGACAAGAAGTACGATATGGGTGAATAGTTTTCCGGTCGCTTGTAAGAAAATAGTCATAACGTCCTGTGTTAACCTCTACAAAAGAGCGCAATATTTTTCCCCGGTAAATGCTCTCACGCATTAGCGTAAATTAAGCTCCTGTGTTTCAATTTCAATTTCCCATAACGGCTGTCGTCTGCCATTAATTTTTATTTCTTTTTCGAACTACGGTATTGATGAAATGTATATAATGTATATACTTTCATCCCATTATATATCACTTTGTAGATAGTACCTAAAATTTACTACATTTTTCAACAGGTTCTAAAGTCGTCGCAATTGATCAAGTTGTGCTTGCTTGGATTCGCTGGATGTCTGCTAAACTATCGTGGCCTGTCCAGTGGTTCATCTGAGTGCTAGTCAGCTAGTCTCTACTCACGTGTCTACTTAGTGTAATAGTCCCAGAATACCTGATTATCCCAGGCAAATATAATTTGAAAGAGGTTCATCATGTTCAGGCTTTGCGAAAGCTAAATGAATGATTAATTTTGTTGTAATATTCTTCTGTTAGCTCACGTTGGGTGAGTGACTGACGCAAGAGTTCAGCTCTCGTCTGGTGATGAAGTGAGTAGACATGACCCATTCTGTACATAGACTATGCGTGCTACTTCTATTGTCGACATTTATATACATTTTTTTGGCTCAAAATTTCTCAGGTATTCATTTGCATGTGACTTCTTGCGAAGCTGATATCAATGTGTAACTACTTGGTAGGACTTCCCGAGTTTCCTGTTGAGGTCCGAGTCTTGAGTTCTCTGCCAATGCCTTGTCCTAGAGGCTCGTGGTTCAGCCACCCTAATATGAGCAGACATTTTCCTGTTGCTTGCTGTTATGCGACATTGCGCTTTATATTTGGTGTTTCATGTTATCGTGTTGCCTGAATGTGTCACGACGTCCCCCTATGGGTGGATTATTTGTCTATAGAAAAGAAGGCTTGTCTGGAATGCGGCCGCATTGACATCTTGGCGAAGTTACCGTGTTCACGCAATTTTTTTAATAAATCGTGAATGCGAACAACGTTATTCTTCTTTCTTCCACGACCAACGAATATTTTGTTAACCACAAGCAGGCAGCCGTACCTCAGAAACTCTTTACTTTGCGTTTGCATGCAACCATTCCCTTGATACTTTCCGAGCTTCCATGTTTGAATTTTGAATAAAGTGTTATGGCGGTAATTTCGTCCGCATAGTATTGATGATATATTTACACCTGATTACATTTGAATTACCGAAATTCGAAATCTAAGTGTAATGTAGTTTCCAGGGGTTTCAGCCAAACGTCTAAAGGCCCAGGTAAATAGGCTTTTAATTAATACCGTCAGTAGGAAGAATGTTGAATTTTTATGAGTTTCAAATACAAATCAATATAGTTTCCTGCATAGTTATGTGCTTTCAATTAGAATCTGCTAGTAGAATTAATGTGAGATTGGCGGTTACCTCCGACGTGCTTCGAGCCAAAACCCGACTCGTTTAATTAACAGTACCGAGGCTGATGGTCTGTTTCGCTGAGCGCAAATCCTTGGTTGGTTAGTGCTTAAAAATTCTCATCAAATATTTTGGGTATGTGATTTCGTATCTTTAGCGCAACAAGTTTTCAGAAGTACAAGGGTTTCTGTAAGTATGTTAAAGAATGTTGACCGTGGCCGGTTTAGTACATACATGAAATCAATTCAATGATCTGGCAACACATACGAACTTATATTATTGTTAAACTTTATATGGTTATCTAAGTCATCTAATGAATCATAGCAATAACCGCTGGAAAGAATTGGACCCGTTACATAAGTGGCTCTGGGTGAGTATTACGAACATCTCCCGCCAATGACACGCTTGTCGCCACTCAGCCGATATATATACTGCACTTAGCTTGCCGCCATTCACTTGCGGTCACTAAAAACCTTGGACAGAATCACGATTTGTAGGTTCGATTGCCACATAATGACTAAGGAGATTTTTCGAACCCACAAGACAGAACTCAAAAGTGGCTAACTTGTCAGATAAGTCAGCCACTTCCGAGACTTGCGTCCTGCGGGTTCGAAAAATCTTAGTTATTAGATTACATTTGAATTACCGAAATTCGAAATCTAAGTGTAATGTAGTTTCTAGGGGTTTCAGCCAAACGTCTAAAGGCCCAGGTAAATAGGCTTTTGCATGCAACCATTCCCTTGATACTTTCCGAGCTTCCATGTTTGAATTTTGAATTAAGTGTTTTGGCGGTAATTTCGTCCGCATAGTATTGATGATATATTTACACCTGATTACATTTGAATTACCGAAATTCGAAATCTAAGTGTAATGTAGTTTCTAGGGGTTTCAGCCAAACGTCTAAAGGCCCAGGTAAATAGGCTTTTAATTAATACCGTCAGTAGGAAGAATGTTGAATTTTTATGAGTTTCAAATACAAATCAATATAGTTTCCTGCATAGTTATGTGCTTTCAATTAGAATCTGCTAGTAGAATTAATGTGAGATTGGCGGTTACCTCCGACGTGCTTCGAGCCAAAACCCGACTCGTTTAATTAACAGTACCGAGGCTGATGGTCTGTTTCGCTGAGCGCAAATCCTTGGTTGGTTAGTGCTTAAAAATTCTCATCAAATATTTTGGGTATGTGATTTCGTATCTTTAGCGCAACAAGTTTTCAGAAGTACAAGGGTTTTTGTAAGTATGTTAAAGAATGTTGACCGTGGCCGGTTTAGTACATACATGAAATCAATTCAATGATCTGGCAACACATACGAACTTATATTATTGTTAAACTTTATATGGTTATCTAAGTCATCTAATGAATCATAGCAATAACCGCTGGAAAGAATTGGACCCGTTACATAAGTGGCTCTGGGTGAGTATTACGAACATCTCCCGCCAATGACACGCTTGTCGCCACTCAGCCGATATATATACTGCACTTAGCTTGCCGCCATTCACTTGCGGTCACTAAAAACCTTGGACAGAATCACGATTTGTAGGTTCGATTGCCACATAATGACTAAGGAGATTTTTCGAACCCACAAGACAGAACTCAAAAGTGGCTAACTTGTCAGATAAGTCAGCCACTTCCGAGACTTGCGTCCTGCGGGTTCGAAAAATCTTAGTTATTGTGTGGCAATCGAACCTACAAACCGTGATTCTGTCCAAGGTTTTTAGTGACCATACTTATTCTTATCATGTCGTATGTAAACAAAATATATCGTTTCTTGTTAAGGCCGATGACATGAGAATTGTGGCGAAGTTCAAATAGCATTGACGATAGTCAATGGGCAGACTGGTATCCATTTTCACATAGAAAATCTAGTTCAGTATTTGATTAACACAGTAAACGCTGGTAGAACAAGAAGAGAAAACACTATTGCCGCCACGCTATAATATCGGCTAAAATTTCCTCAGGTCAGTCAGTGTATCACCTTAAGATGCTGAACCATATGCCAATCGCCCATGTTGACACGGCAACGTTGAAATCCTCCATCTTGCAAGTTCTCTCCATTTGCAATTGAAATAATTGCAGCCACTTGTATAATGGCTAAAAAACAGTAAACACAGCTGTGTAAGTGGTAAGAGCCATAGAGCTTGCTCTCTATGCTGGCTCATTCGAGGAGTTCAGAGGGAGATGTTTACGTTCGTCATCGAAGTTCATTTCATTTGATCAGGTTATATGAATGCATTTTGAGAAATCAATTTGCGTGCTGTTGTCACGTTTGCCAATAATAATCCCAAATAATATTTTTTAGCTGCAAGTAGGCAACAGTACCTCAGATTAGTATCACCAGTCATATTGGCATTGTTGCCTTGCTCAAACGTGACTAAAACTGACTATACAAGACACGTATCCAGGTCGTACGTGTTCCGGCCACGCAGTACGGGGAAAAAACAGCTGAACTATGGGTATTGCCTTATAACACCAAGAGCATGATTTTCTCCTCCCTGTTCTAAGACCACATATACAGATCACTATCGCACACCTGTCGTGTTTGAACGATGTCTTTAGTGCTACACGAAAGTCACGAATAGCTGCTCACTATTAATTTGCACGGGAATTCAGGATGTGTATATCTTAACAGATTATCTCTTTTCTTTGTCATGCTGGAGATTCGTAAACAGTGAAACTGATATCAGAATCGGGGCTAAACTTACACCAGTTTAGGCATTATGGATAAGATTGAAAAATTTCGGCGGCAGATGCAGGAGCGTCTTGTCTCTAATGAAATATGTAGTAGGCCTTGCTTGAACATGCGGAGTTGGGCATGATTAAAGTAAATAAATTATCATTTGCGTGTAACTATTTTTTTAATGCTGGTGGAAGATCATTACAAGAGGATAATTTTTTTCACTTATGAAAGGAGGATCGAGCATCATACTTTAATTGTATAATTTGTATTTGCTGCAGCAGCTGATATTGTGAACAAGAAAATCGACCAATTTTGAGAGTTGACATCCTAATGCAACCTGAGGCGGAGGTTCACTGCTCCTAAATTCGGTAATTTCTCGATTGGAGTGATCATGTCATTGGAGACTAAGTTTACAGCCACTGCTTTAAACCTATCCCCATATCACAAGTGCAAACCAATAATTGAATTCTCTCCACACCTATCCCGACTCCTCACCAAACCCGACGTTACGAGACCTAATATTCTGCTCATCGGCTAGCAGAAGGTGTAGGACGTGGTATGTATGAATTTTCGACCGCTATGGGTTATATTTGTGAAGTGGGACAGGCTAAGCCAGCCAGTGGGCGTGGGCTCCATGGTAAGTTCAAAAGTCAAATTTGTGGCCCGCGGCTGCTCTCCCGGATCACTTAGGTAACTGTTGTCCTTTCGTATTCTGTTCTTCTCTCAGGATGCAAAAATTATATCGCACACGTTTCTTCCTTTTCCTCCGTCCTCACTTTCCTCAATTTATCCCTCTGATATGTCAGCGCTGCTTGTTCTCGTTATGTTTGGCCCTGCTGCAATTTGAGGCGTTACGTCTCTTTGCGATTAGAATTTTATACTTGATTAATTCGTGAAGATCTGACAGTGCCGTCCATCGCATGATTTGTTACCTATGAAATTAAGTCCACCTTTCCGTGCTCGATGGGTCACGGCTGAGCCTTGTTTTTCACTTTGAATGGATCCAATATAGAATAGAATAGGCTAAATGTCTGCGTGAAATCGAACAAGGACATCTCATGAAAGCTAAACAATATTTCGTATCACTATGCATAGTTTGTAAGTTACCCTGGCGTCATTGCAATACCTGCCAAATTCAGCAATACCTGCCAGTATGCCAAAATATGCTTAATATTTATCATATTGTGCGAGCTTGTAGCCTCAGGGCTTCGACGGCAGCGCAAGGCTCCATACCTGAGCATATCAAGAGAGAAAGTCCGTGCGACAGTCCAATGATAATTTGCCATTGTTGCTCAGCACTAATATGATTAAATTGCAAGACTGGCATGTAAGTTTGCTCTGTTTGAGGAATACTGCTGTGAGTAATATCAGTTCAACTGATATAGGGCGCACTTTGAATGGAATGATCAAGACGACACTTCCATTATGAGCTAAAGTCACACGTCCCCTTGCATAATTCAGTCATCACTGCGCAAATTGGACGAGTTTATAATTTCCGGTAATTTGACGATAGCGCTTGGATGCACGACGTTGGGTCGATTGAGTGCGTAACCTCACACGAGGTAGAGAAATTGGGGCTAGAGGCGTAGCTAGAAGGAAACGAGGAAATAATATATTGTATCATATTATGGTGATACTCCATTATTTGGAGTCACGCATGCTTCTGGAAAATTAGTGTTAGCTCCTTCGAGGTCAAGTTAGATTCTGAACTTACAGAAAAACAAGAATTGGAGACGTTTGCATTTCTGAATATATATCTCACCTTACAGTCTAGTAGCGTGATGTTGGAGACAGAAGTATGAACCTCGTGCACATGTGATATCAGTTGGGGCCTGATAGTCTTTCTCCCCCGATCAATTTAGTTGTCCTTATCCCATGCGTTAGATTTGACGATCGATATGGTTCCATTCAT